TAAGTGGTTTGTCTGTGGTGCTCTGTTGTGTGCGTTCCTGTTTCAACCCTTTGGCGATTAGTGAGATGGCCGACCAGAAGGAACAAAGAGTGTGCGTGAAATTTTGCTTTCTGTTAGGGAAAACTGCACTTCACTCTTCAAGTCGCGGCAAACATTCACGCGGTTTTCTCTTTGGTCATCTCCGAGCAAGCGAGGAACAAATTTTGCAGACACCCGTCTCATGTGCAAACCTTCGGTTAAAATTCGCTGGACCGTGCTCCATGAGATGTTCGTTTCCTCAGAAAGTTGGTCAATGGTCTTTCGACGATCTTCATCAATTTCACGCACACTCTTTGTTCCTTCTGGTCGGCCATCTCACTAATCGCCAAAGGGTTGAAACAGGAACGCACACAACAGAGCACCACAGACAAACCACTTAACTCAGACTGACGCCAGCTCACTAACAGTCGCGGGAGACTCCCAGCTAACACCACCTAGCAGCACAACTCATAACTACAAAGCATGCGCGTGCAACAGGTCATTTCTGGGTTCCCCCTCATATGTTGTATGATTCAAATGGCTCAAACAGCCGTATATCTTTTAAACAGATCACCTCTCAAGAAACTAAAGAATCAATTGCCTGAAGAAATATGGACAGGAGAAAAGATTGATATATCCCATATAAAAATTTTTGGGTGTCCAGCGTATGCACATATACCATCACAGAAACGCCAAAAATTGGATGCTGTGAGCAAGAAATACATTTTTATGGGATATAGTGAGGAAAGTAAAGCTTATCGGTTATCAGATCCCCACAATCCGTCTCAAATAATTGTGGCAAGAGATGTAGAATTTCTGGAAGAAGATATAACAAATAAGAAAGAAAGTGAGAAAGGATTTCAGCTTAAAGACATTCTTCCAGTGTCGTTAAGTTTCTACCTCGACTCACAAGATGAAACAATGATTCCGCAAGAACAAAACCCTGAAGAAGAACAAACACAAGTAGAAGATGAAGGAAATGAAGTTCCATTAGAGCCAGACGGTTTAGAACAATTACAAGGAAACTTGGAAGAAAGAAGATATCCACTTCGAAATAGGAAACAGAAAGAATTTCCAGATTTTGTTACTTAGCCATGCATAAAGATGAGTCAGAACCAGTCACATATGAAGAGGCACTGTCAAGCTCCGATAAATCTAAATGGGAAGAAGTCATTAAGAAGGAATTAAAGGCCTTTCAAATGAACAAAGCATGGACAATAGTGGATAGACCGTCAAATAAGCCAGTAGTGAAATCAAAATGGGTCTTCAAAATTAAACGAGATGCTGAAGGAAATGTCACATGTCACAGAGCACGTTTAGTGGCGAAAGGTTGTAGCCAAACAGAAGGACTAGACCATTTTGAAACTTTCGCTCCTGTGGTGAAACATTCTTCAATGCAATTGTTATTTGCTTTAGCTGCAAAGCATGATTGGAACATTGACCACCCTGATGCCTGTACCGCATTTTTAAACGGAGATCTTGAAGAAGTTATATATATGGAGCTTCCTGAAGGATATGACATTAAGGGGGTCTAATAAAGTTTGCAAATTAAGAAAATCAGTTTACGGACTGAAACAAGCTGCTAGGTCGTGGAATAAGAAAGCAACAGAGGTTCTAAAAGGCCTAGAGTACAGGCAGACTTGTTCCAAACCATGTATTTATACCAAACAAAAGGGTAATTCTATAACTAATATAGCATTGTATGTTGACTTCATATTTCACAATGACAATGTTGAAGTTGAGAATTTAAAAGGAAAATTGTGACGATGTTTTAAAGTCAAGGATTTGGGACCAGTTAAGAAATGTTTAGGAATGGAAGTGAAAAGAGATAGGGCAAAGAAAACTATAAAGTTGACCCAAACTCAATATTTGAATAATGTTCTTAAAAGATTTAATATTCCAAATGAGACTAAACCAGTTAGTCATCCAATGGAACCAAACAGCAAACTGAAACCATTGCCTAAATCAAGAAAATCAACTGAGAATTTAGATAATGTGCCATATCAACAGGCTATAGGATCATTAATGTATTTAGCCGTGTGCATGCGCCCAGATATATCCTTTGCTTTGACTTACCTAAGTCAATTTAACACTTGTTACACAAGAGAACACTGGGTATTATTAAAAAAGTTCTAAAATACCTAAATACTACAAAGGATGTAGGTATTGTATATTCCCAGAACGATGATCAATCGGAAGGTTTTTCCGATGCAGACTGGGGAGGAAATTTAGATTGTAGATCCTTTAGTGGATCTGTGTTCAAACTATCAGGAGCAGCTATCAGTTGGCGATGTAAAAAACAAAGGACTGTAGCCTTGTCAACCACAGAAGCAGAATACATGGCGTTATCAAAGACCGCGAAAGAAGACATTTTCTTAAGAAAATTATGGTTTGAAATATGTAACAAGGAAATCACAATTCCAATGTTTTGTGATAATAGTGGTGCTTTAGCCATAGCGAAAAATCCTGTCAATAATGACTGAACAAAACATATTGACATAAGGGTTCATTTTATAAGAGAAAAGGTTGAATCAAAGGAATTGTCAGTACATTACATCCCTGGAAATCAATTAGTTGCTGATGGTCACATGAAAAGTTTAAATGTACGGAAACATACTGATTTTATTAATTCACTTGGATTGTGCTAAGAATAATGTTTCCAAATGATGTTCTGAACAATAATAATTTGTTTATATATTCACAATGAATAAGTATTTAAAATAAAAACTCCCAAATTGTTTAAGGGGGACTGTTATGTTGGCAACTCTCAAATACTGAAATATGATGTTAGAGTTCGCAACATCGTAGTAAACAATTTAAGAACTAGGTTATTTCTTGTTACCTAAGTGATGTTTACTGTTATGTGTAACTACAGTTACGTGTGTAACAACAGTATCTTTATATTGTTATGTGTTACTATGGTTATATGTTTGTATGTATTATAAGGCGTACTTCTGTGTCAAATTTGTGTCTTAATAAAGCAGGAGTAGAGTGAACACTGATTCTTACTTTTCAATCTACGGGAAACTGAAAATAACACAGTGTGTGCACCCTGAGTCACATGATACACATCCACTCGGTAATCAATCTCATCCCAGACCCGGTGTAGCATGTCCGCTGTAATGGCCAGAAGTGCATGCTTTATCCGATCACTAAGTTCATGGATGGATGTGGGCAATGGTGGTACATAAACGCTGTCTTTAACGAACCCCAAAAGAAAGAAATTGCACGGTGTAGGATCTGGCGAATAGGGTGGCCAAAGGACAAGGTTGTTCTCTCCATTTGCAGCAGCACGTCCAATCCAACGCTGTGGAAGAACACAATTGAGAAACACTCGTAAATTCCTGTGAAAATGTGGGGGGGCCTCTGTCCAGTTTTAGAATGTAATTGTCATAATTGGTATTCAGTTGGGGTAACAACCAGCTTTCCAACATGTCCAAAAATGAGTCACTAGTCACAGTTGCTTCAGAGAAGAAAACTGGGCCATGCACTTTCTAGCGGGACACCGCACAGAAAACGTTGACTTTTGGAGAGTCACGCTGGTGCTCTATCGGTGCATGTGGTTGCTTGGTTCCCCAGACACGGACATGGTGTCTGTTCACCTTGCCACCGATGTGGAATGTGGGTTTATTGTAGAAGATCAGTCTTTCTACGAACCCATTTTCAACTGCATCTCCTTGCAAAAGTCATACAAAGCGAACTGCTGGTAGCGCATGAGAAACTTGGACAGTTTCCGATGCTGATGGTGTATGTTCTGCCCGTGTAATGTGAGAAATACATTTTTTATTAATTTTTGAAACTGCACAATTGTTTTGTGTATACACTGTATATATATATATATATATATATATATAGAGAGAGAGAGAGAGAGAGAGATAGAAGTATTGCAATTCATACAGTAAGATACCTTCTTGTGAGAAAGCAACTTGTACAGAATCTAGTAAGAAGCTGTCACTACAATCTTGTAAGCACTCAAAGGTGATGAGGCACAACACATTTTTTAAATATATAATTTATATGACAAGTATAAAGTTCTTTTATTCTAGTAGTGGAAGTTACAGGTGTATGTTTTACTTCTATCTGCTGTTAATCTAGTCTCTTCACTAGTTAAAATGTATGTCATGTTGCAGTGTTAGGACTTAACTTCTGCTACAGCTGATGATTGAGGAAGCCACAGAATATGTGGTGTACCTGGATACAGTATGTGTGATTCAGAGGGTTTGTGAGGATGAAGAAAAAAAGTACTTTCATGTCATTTGATGCCCCAGCAACAGATAGTACACATTCTTTCAGCCTTTCGGCATGCTGATCACATGGTTCTTAGTGTTATCAATAAACTGCAATAGATGGTACTGAAAAGTATGTACCAAAATGGAATCTTGCCACAAACAATCTAATATTGTTAAGAGACTCTCATGCCCTGTATCTGATGTTTTGAAATAAGTTACATGTGGATAGATGGTGCTTTATGCATTGTGTCAGTGAGATCATTCTGCTTCAGCTTGCAAAATGAACAATTTTCAGCATAATCACACAAAACTACCAATTCACCTGGCTGTAGATTGCATTCAGTCCTTTGAGGAACATGGCGTACTGTGTTGCAATGAACGAATGGCAAAGTAAAAATAACAGTTTTTCAAGAAATGTGATGAATTTTTCAGTTGACTGTACAGTGGTAACTAATTCACATCTGTCTGTCAAAAACCAGTCTTTTGTAAGGTTGTTTTTTCAACTGCATTAGCACATAGCTATCTGACAGGTTGTTTCATGATTGAGGTTAGCTCCTTCTGAGAGACCCAACTGAGTAGGTGTTTCCCCCAAGTCACCTCAGGCGGAAACAGATCCAGTTTTCAAAATGTAGTGTTCTCTAGTTTCTAGAATACCAGACAATGGAAAAAGTCCAAAAAACAGTAATCCTGATTGTTATACACCACTGTCAGAACCCTTTAGAGTTGTATAAAGAACATGTCACAGCTTTCAAATCAAGATAACATACATAATCATGATTTATTGAAATGAATGGTCAAACTAGGAACGTGTATACATGTACATGATAAAATTAACACATTCATCAAAGCTAATTCAATGGTGACATCATGTAACAATGTTTACATAAATCAACTCTTATATCTAGCAAGCTTAATGTGTTCCTAATACAGTCTGTCAAATCTACATATATTTTGGTACAATTACACAAGATGATGTGGATCTCCATCCAGGATAGAATCTGATCAAGCAAATAAAATATTCTATGAATATAATTTAAATCTCTTCAGATATATTAAACAGGTCAGTAATTTTCCTAGTTGTGCCTTCATGCTGACACATGATGGTAAATCTTACTTCAGAATGAATAAAGAAAATAACAGTGTACTTTTGCATAATTCACAATGAAATATTACATTTTATTTTAATCTGTATTTTGACAGCAGTGTTCCAAGTGGTACGCATACTGTCTGAATGAGGAGATTAAATGGGACCTCACATATTTTTCTAAAGGCCCCAAACCAATGTCCTTTCATATCTGTAATCAACTTCACATCCAATATGTTAACTCAACCGAGACATACAGTTAGTCCAGCTTCTCCCAAGTGCTGACTATGGAATATTCATAAATGCACTTCAAATGCTTACATAATAGGAAAATTGAATTTGCAACTGTGTATCAAGCATCAAAGTAAAATTTATGAGTGTGATCAATGAAAATATAAACAGAGTTAATGAAGAACTTCACTACAAGCCTTCTCAAATACCAGAGCTACATTGCTGATTTCATCATCTGTCAACGTGTTATTCACTGTCACACGAATACTGTCCCTTGACACAAACCTCTCCATTTGCAGATATGCAGCTATGACAACAGCAACACCATGTTCAATGCAGAAGTCAACAATTTTGCTCAGGAGATTACGTTCAGTCTCTCTGCAGTTTGGAGGGTCACGCAAGTACAGATGTTTCACTGGAGAATCAGGATCACCTTGCAAAGAAAAGGAAGACAGAGCACTCAAAGCTTTGTGAACAAGTTGGCACCGTGTCTGCAATTTCTTAAACATTGAGGGGTCTCTCTCCATAATATTCAATGATGTAATTGCAGCAGTTGCCAACAGAGGAGGAAGTGATGCAGAGAAGCAATATCCCAAGCCTGACAGTCGCTGGTGCTCTACCACAAATGAGGAGCCAACACAGAAACCACCAATTGTAGCCAAAGACCATTCCATACTGGAAGTTATCATATCTACTTCCTCTTTTGGTATATTATAATATTCAGTGACACCTCTTCCATGGTCTCCAAGAGTAGCAAATGAAATACTTTCATCTATAAATATGCGCAATTTGTACTTCTTCCGCAGTTCCACCAACTCTGGTAATGGACAGATATCACCACTGTTCATATATATACCCTCAACAATAAGGAATCTTCGAGTCACTTGTGCTTTTTTAGGATTCTTTTTATCCAGTTCTGCTTGTTCTATAAGGAGCCTTTCTAAATCAACCATATCATTATGTTTAAAGAATCTAATTCTACTTCGTGAAGCATCCAATCCTTTCTGAATGGCAAAATTCACATTTTCATCAACAAAAATAACATCACCCCGTTTTGCATATGCTGGGATGGCACTTGCAATCGTTGAGAACCCATAAGAATATACAACAGCTTCTTCCATTTTCATAAACTCGGTAAGTCTGTCCTCCAAGTCCAGGTGAACATCAACAGTACCATAGAAGCCTCTGGGTCCACAAGATCCAACCCCATACTTTTGTATTGTTTTAATCGCACTCTCCTCGATATCTTTATTACCCACAAATCCAAGGTAATTATGAGTTGCCATATTCAAACAGTGGTGACCATCCACGTTAATGTATTTACCAGCCTTTCCACTAACGGTAGGCGGTTTCAGGTACGGATGATTTTGTGGCACGTTCCCAACTAGTGGTTCTGGGGTCCAGTCGTCAATCAACTGCTCCTTTTCCTTCTCTGTCAATTGTTCTAGCTCTTTTGGATTGTAACTTTTATGAAAAATTAGCCACAAAATCCACAATAACAGCCCCACTTCAAGAAGAACATGATAAAACGGAACTTCATTCAGTGCTTCAAAGATTTCGAAAAATATCCACTGTGTAGCCATATGCCGTTTATAGTTAAAACTATTACAAAAATAAACATCCACTACCAATAAATTACGGAAATTTTAATCAGATAAATGATCACTATTAATTACAACAATCTACTGCAATTAAACTCTAACAACATTACTTTCACTCCAGAGAACAGTTCATATAACAACGGATGCCTACGAGCCCTATGAGCTCTAACGACCGCTAACGACTAACTGACCTAACTGACCGCGCCCCGTTGCCACGGTTACACCACGAGGTTCATGAACATGAAGTTGTTGCAAGGGGACAATAGGCAGAGTCGAGATCGGTCGAGATCGTCGAGATTGATCTTTGACGATCTTTGACTGGTTACTTACACGCAAACCCAGTGTTCCGCAACCTTTTTCTACTCGCGGCACACCATGAAGTATCCATGACTCAACACGGCACACCAAAATGTTATTCCCCTGAAAAACGTATGATATCAGACAATTAATATAAATACGTAACGTGATCAACTTAATTATTATATTATTATATTGATATTTTATTATCATTAAACAGAAATCGACTCGTGCATTTATTAACAATTAATGAACTTTAATTCGCTGTGGAGTGCAGAAAATACACTTCTATTACTATTAAAGTAAATACAGTAATTCTACTTATACCTTCAATGTGATACTTGCGCCTGCTTAGCTGCACACAGGCGACTGATCCGTGGTGGAATCGTAGACAACGCAAGTCTCATTTCTTCATCGATGGATTTGAGCCGCTCCCTCTTTGATGTCTTAATTTCAGTTAACGTCGAGAAGCCCAGTTCACACAAATATGTAGTTGAAAATGGCAATAACACATTAACTGCCATCTCGGAGATAGCCGGGTATCCACTCCTTATTGCCAACCAAAACGTATCCAAAGGCACTTCGAGAAGTTTTAGTTTCAATGTTCTGTCTGCTTTTAAATCTGCGAGTTCCTCTTGTATATTAATCGGAAGATGTTCTGAATTCACAACAAATGGATCACGAACCCAGTCGAAATCTTGTACACTCTCTCCAAAATACTTATTGAATTTCTGCTGCAGCATTTCTAAATGTTCTTTAATTGTGTCCATCACCACTTTATTGCCGTCAGCAAGTGGCCATACAGTCGGGGACGCCGGGGACATCTCAAACGACCCATCTATAATTCTCTAACTAGCAACCAAAATTTGCGAACTACTTCAGAGCACAGCTGTGATAGAACTGAAACAATTGTAAAACGCGGGATCTCTACTCATCAAACGGAAGAAGTGACACTATACCGGCTTATTTATGAAATATTTATAATTTTAAATGAAGTCCAACAATCGGTGGGTGCATCGTTACAGGAAGAAAGTCATAAAGTTGAAGAAGCTCTTAACTTCTAACAAAGCGTTATAAAAGACAGGAAACCCCATGCTAATCCCTGCAGTTTTAGGGAAAAGCACGTACACGGAACATGCGGCAAGCACATCAAAGAAGCTGCGTAGCTGCGAGAAAAATAAGTCAATAATGGAAACCATGATATAACAACAACTGTGGGTAAATAATTTACGTTTAATTTCTTAGAATACAATATTACTGTACATAAAAATCACGGCATGTAATAAAGAATAAACAAGCATAATCTTATTTAATCAGTGCAGTGGCTGAGAATAAAATATAAGCATATGAAACAGGTAACTGGGATAAAATAAAACGAATAAAATTCGACAATTAATTTCTTACAATAGGTAAAAGTTCGCGTCACACCTTTCTCCTTGTGACTGCACAACGGTTGTGGAACATTGCTGTAGTTAGTTAGTTATTGTAGAGGGTGGGTTTCCCCGTGCACTTAGACCAGTATTGGTCCATTGTGCTTCCCTCTATGATATTCTACCAGTCTCTATACCCTACCGATAATGGTGCGTGCCATCAGTCCCGACCGAGCCAGCGAGTTCTCAACTGGCTTGGCGGTATCTATCAGAGGCCTTAGAGACTGCTGTTGGGCGGGAAACGTCCTTGAATTTGGCTCAGTGATCTCTTTTGGAGATATGAGGTTCTTTTACGTGCTATGACACGGCACCCACGGCTTAAAGTCCCTCCTGGAGGACTTGTTTCCTGAATTTTTCCGCCTTTAAAAATTCGACGACCTCCGCCGGGTATATGAACCCGCGTACCACTTCGTTTTAAGATCTGCAACTGATAATAATAATTGACTAACTCTGCCTTCTTTGATTGCTTGCTTTGCCTCCAAGTCGGCCCTCATTAACTTGTACTCCGCAGTGCCCCAAGATCCAGTAAAATTGGATTTTTTCCCTCACGATTCCAGCCTATCTATTTTATCTTTAAGCTTTTGTGCAACACATCACACATTACAAAAATGCTTGAAGATAAAATAGGGAGACTGGAATTGCAGGGGAAAAAATCCAATTTTACTGGATCCCGGGTCACAACGGAGTGGAAGTTAATGGGAGGGCCGACTTGGAGGCAAAGCAAGCAATTAAAGAAGGCAGAGTTAGTCAATTATTATTACCAGTTGCAGATCTTAAAATGTGGAAGAAAAAATAAAGCAAAAATGTATTGAGAATCTAATAATGTAAAAATGTTCAAGTTGTTAATAGTGATCTATATTCATTTGTTTTTGTTTTGTATTATAATAAAAAGCTTCTTCTCATCCAATATGGCTGTTAAGTACGACACAAAGAAAATCAACAAAAAGAAGTTAACAGATGTTGTCAGAACGCCAAACGGGACAGAGGAGAAAGCTACTTTGAAAGGTACTACAGGAATGGCTTGTCTCTGTGGTTCCGAGAGATAAAAATGAACTGCTGTGCCTTCATGTCAATAAACCGTATGAGAGCAGGACACACCAGTCTTAAAGCAAGCCTAAACAGACTTTACATTGTGCCCACGGTCAAATGTGAATGTGGTGATGGGCTGCAAATGGAGGCACATACCGTCTGGAACTGTAAATTGTACGAGGACCAACGGGCAACAATGATAGACATTTTGTCTGCGAACAGCAAAAAAAGAATACCCAAAGTCAGTTATAGAACTCTTAAGGCTAGAAGAAAAAAGATTTCTGCAAGGCGTTTGTTATTTCATAGACAACATTCCTATATTTGTATAAAATAGATATGTAAGAAAAGTAAAAGTAATTGTACTGATTATTAACAGTATACTCTCAGATTTAAGTTAAGATCTACATTAAGAATTGCCAGGTTACCGCTATTATACCTGTAGAATAAGATATTTATAAGATTGTGCTACAGAGGGCTGGATGGGCATTGCCTAGGCCTTTTTTGTATTTCAGTATTTTTTTCTGCAATAAAAAAAATCTTCTGAACGGTTTTGAAGGTTCTGAACCACTCAGAGGCTTAATAAATTTGATCTGAAAGTCTGAATGACATAACTGGTACACGTATAATTTAAGAGGATATCAGCCAATAATAATTAAAAAGTTGTTTCTCTGCTGTTAGGTGGGTTATGATTTTGATGAGGTATTGCTGAGAATTTTGAGTTTACAGCCAAGTTTTGAATGATTTCTGCAGTTCTTGTATTAGGCAGTGTGTTGGCAATGAAGCCTTAACTGAATGAAACACTAAGGAGCGACCACATGATTAGTGAAATCAGATAATTAAAAATGTTTTGGCGACCATGTCGTCCTGAGACATGTTGAAGATGAATGTTTCAGCTACCTCATGCTTTTCGCAGTAGGTGGTGGAAGACTACTTGTCTTCTGATGCAGCTAAAGAGGAAGTTCGATGCTTACTGGATGAAAGTAGTTCAGTGGTGGGTTTGAGGGGTAGAGGTGTTGTTAAGCTGTATTCGTTTTTGTGATTAATGATAAGGAAGTGTTTTGTTATTTTGATGGTTTCCCAGATGATTCGCGGACATTATGTCTGGATCAGTCTGGATGTTGACAATAATCCATGTTTAATCGAAGTCGATGCCAGTAGATGCTGTAACTTACTTCTTCCAAAGTGTTCAGATACTGTTGAATGTTGGAGATTGCTGGAGATGGTTAACTGCGTTTGACGGTTCGTGTGTGCCAGATGTGAAGCTGATTGGTCATTTACTGTTGGTTTCTGAATTGTGTTAATACAGTTCTTCCTCAGTGGCCTGGAGGTATGGTCATTAATGCTGTGAATGTACGATAGACATGTTTCCTGTTGATTTTGTTGTCGAGTCTGGCCATCTTTCGTTTGTTGACATCGCAGTTAGCACCATACTTCCCCGGTTATGCAGTAACGGCTTCACTTTGGATGCACAGCCTACTGGGGGGTACATTACTCAGATGACCAGTAAAGTCCTAGTCAACATATATCCAGAAACCATTGCCTTCTGAGTTATGCCCAATATTCGTGGGATCTCTAGAGCTAGTGTTCTACATGGTTACCACGCACTTCAACACAACTTTCAACTCTTCACTGCACAGAGGTGTGCAATCTGTCGAAAATTCTTAGTTTCACTTGAATCTCCTGACAGGCATGCTCTCTACTCATTGCTATAATATTATCTCCAAGACATTGATGACCGCTGAATAGGCTGACATCTAAAGTGTCCTGACAGCCACAAATGCAGAAGATTAAGGACGGGATCATGCAGGCCAGTTGTTTGGGCCTCTGTATCCTAACCAAAATGTAATGGTTACACACCAGCTGTTAGTCTGTTCAAGACAGTCAGTCTTAAGATCACCTAAGATGCCAACCCAGGCATTTACTGATCAATATGTCAGCAGGCAGTGATTTATGGACATAGTTGACAGGGATTTTTTTGTTCATTTAAGAGAGTACTAAATCTTAAAACCTCTAACCATTTTCTTAACACCTATATGAGCTTTCAACCCCTGCCCCTTTTCAAAATGTCCAATGAAGATACAGCATTTGCTGTTACATTTGAAAACATTTAGCATTCTACAGGGAATAGTCCTGAAAGCCGAAGTCACGCAGAGAGCAGTAGTTTTTTTTTTAATTTTATTTGATCTGTTGCCTGTAGTGGATTTCATTACTGATATAGTCATTATTTAAATCTTGCTTCTTTGTACTGTGCTGGATGATGTGTCTTGCTTTTGATCCAGTTTTATTGTCAATGCTGAATATCTAATTTACAGGACATAATGGGTTCTTACAAGACATGCTTTGCATATTCTTGCTTGGCCTGTTCTTTAACCCTGAAGATGGAGGCAACATGTATCTCTGAAATGTAGGTTGACTTCCAGTGGACTACACAGCATTATACCCCAGA